CTATCCTCCTGTGACTTCATTATATAAAGCATGGCAAGAAAAGTGAGTTATTAGCCAGAAGTGTATGTTTTATTGGTTGGCAAAGGGGTTTGTATTTCTTAAGGACAGTCGGTAGACTTACCGTTAGTTTGATCCAGAGAGTTTGTGGAATTCTCAGCCAGTCATTGGGAGATTACTAGCTCTCTTAGACTTTCCACAATTTAAATCTATTTCACTGGTATTTTCTATAAAGAACTATGTTTTTTTTTTTAATTCTTCCCATGAAAAGGTAATTCCACCATTGTACTGGGTAGTATAAGCTGGTTACAGTGTATGTCAATGGATTTAAGTTGGGTGTTATTGCAAGAGCTGATGTGAAAGTGGGAAAACTGTCCACCTTTTATTTTTTTTTTTCCCAACACAAAACAGGTAAAGTGAGAAAAACAAACAAACAAAATGGTGCTCCGTTCATAATAACGATTCGCCTGAGTTTTACCACACAAACCAACCAACTTACTGTGGACTGTTTTCTTTTCTTATTGCCAACTAGACTTCCCTTTAGCGTTGATTGTGTGTTAACCCAGTGCTTTGCAGTGTTTTTTTTTTTTTTTTTTTAAATCTGTCTTCAAGAGAATGGTATTCTTGAAAATGATCTGTGCAATACACAAGGAAATGGTGAAAATATAGTCTGAATGGTCATAACATTAATTTCAACAACTTTTATGGTTGGTCAGCTCTTTGTGCGTCAGAAGGTAAAACGGGTTATTGCTTGTACACCTCTCTGGCTTGCAAAGGTTTTTATTTCTACACAGATTTTGTTTAGGTAGAATTTTAGAAAATACCCTCCTCCTACAACTGCCCAGCAGATTTGATATCAATGTGTATTTACAGACAGCAAAGGTTGTACTTTTTCAGCTTTCCTATGATGATGTTTATAAAAAGTGAGTTATGTTTGTTTACATACTGTTTACAATGGCAGTTTTTATTTTTTAATATATACAACTTTTAAGGTATTTATTGCATACTATTGAAATTACAAAAATTCAAATGTTTTTTGTGTTTTCACCTTTGGAATATAATGTTACAATTCCCTGTACAGAAATTGGGTGGCTTTGTTAATGTAGTTAGTAATTTTTATGACTACTAAGTGACCAGTTTTTTCTGTGCCTTTTTTCTTGTTGAATGCATTGATTACATATTTATTGTATGGAAGTCACTGAGATGTGTATTTTTGTATTCTGCTGGAGGCTACAGTGTTTTTTGTTGTTGTTGTAAACAATACAGTTGCCAACTTTGTTTGGCACTCAGATCTTCCTTCTCAAATAAACAAAATGCATTCACTGTTCATAATTATTTGTGACTTGTTTGTGTTTGCAGTTTCACTCAATGGTGCATTACACAATTTTCTGTATTACTCTTACATAACGAACACACAACCTGTAGTCCACTAGCCACAATATTGGTGAGAAAACCAATGTATTTAAGGCAGTGGCCAAAACTAGCAAGCAACATGTACCTTTTATTGAAAAACCCAATGGGAGAATCTTGCCATAGGTTAAAAAACTCCATACAACTGCTGTGGTAAAACATGTCTTAAATACTCAATATTTGAAAAAAATAATTAAATTGTTATTTTATTCTCTTCTAGAAAACCAAAAAAATATAACTGAATTGAAGTAAAAGGCAAAAAACATGTGGTTGCGAGAGAGGGCCCCAATTAAGAAAAGGCATGGCTAATTATATGCTATACAGATTAGTTAAATTATGACTAACTCATTTTTGCCCCAGGATTCCTAGCAAAGTGGTAACAATCTCATTAAAAGAACCTACTAATGGTGAAGCACTTATGGTAAATTAAACTTTGTTCTGTGCAACTAAAATTGGTTGACAAACAGTATAAAATGAAGATTGGTACATCAACAATATTGGATAATTTAGGTGTCAATTGGAAACACGTGCAAGAATTAAAAAAACAAAACAAATCACACATCCTGGTGTAGTATATGATGACTTTAGTTTCTCAAATAATCCATATTAGAAGACTCACATGTTAAGTCCTTATCCTGGCTCTATGATTTCCTCCTTGGACTTCATGTGTTGGAAGCTGGAAAAATGGGCAAGCAAAGAGATCTGAGTGACTGACAAGGGCCAAATAGTGATGGCTAGATGACTGTGTCAGATCATCTCCAAAATGGCTTTTGGGGTGTTCCTATTATGTAGTGGATAGTATCTACCAAAAGTGGTACAAGGAAGTACAACTGGCATCGGGGTCATGGCCGCCCAAGGCTCATTTATGCACATGGGGAGCGAAGGCAATACCGTCTTGTCTCATCACACAGAAGAGCTACTGTAGCTCAAATTGCTGAAAAATGTAATAATGCTGGTCATGATAGAACTTTGGGTCCTGCTATTCATGTGGATGTTACTTTGACACATACCAACTACCTAGAGATTGTAACAGACCACGTACATCCCTTCATGACACTGGTGTTCCCTGATGGCAGTGGCCTCTTTCAGCCACTCCACTGCAAAAATTGATCAGGGTTTGTTTGAGGAACGTGACAAAGAGTTCAAGGTGTTTGTTGCTTTGGCCTCCAAATCCCCCAGATATTAATTCGATTGAGCATGTGGGAAGTACTGGAACAACATATTCAATCCATGGAAGCCCAACCTCGAAACTTTAGCTGCAGATCCTTTCAGTCTTAAGTCTTGGTGCCATATTGCAAAGGATATGTTCATAGGTCTTGTGAAGTCCATGCCTCAACGCATCAGAGCTGTTTTAGCAGGAACATATTAGTCAGGTGGTTTTAGTGTTATGGCTGATTTGTATGTAAGGTTACAGATATAGCGGCCCTATGAAACTTTGAATACAGGTAGGAACGTGACAGCAGCTATTGACTATACTCAATTACATTCATATCCCTTTGTAATAGTTTTTACTATAAAACCCAAATTAAACTGGACATTGTAAACCCCACAAGATCAAAGTCATTGTCGTAATGTCATGTGTTAAACCCCATCCAAGAAAATTGAGAGTCCAGTAAAATTATCCATCATGAAGGGGTTGAAGACAAAGAGGGCCAAAACCCTTACTGGTTGCAAATATACCCTCCATTTCCACCCCATACATTGGAAGCCTAGATACATGTTTGACAAAACTTTTTTTTTGTGTGTGTGAAAAAATATAAAGATCAATAGTGATCTTGGGGTTCAGGAACTTTTCTAAAACAATTGAAAAATAAATAAGCATAAATCTGCTAGAAGTAAATAATAGCAAGAGCTACCTACCTCTGGTAACGCACATAAAAGATAAATCCAGTACCAAACATAGAGCATTATAATTACTCAAGATAGAGATTTCCCTACAAGAAATTATGGTACATGAAGCCACTGGAACAGAATACAATCTCCAACTAAAATAATTAAAGGAGGCACATCTTTTGATTAAAAAAAACAAAACCAAAAAAATAAAAAAAAACCCTTGCCTTTATTCCAATGCCAGGTCAGACTCCTCTGAATGATTTTTGGCCGAAGTAATGATTATATATATATATATATATATATAGCCATGGATTTGTTCAACATTATTATTTTGTGTGATGACCTTGAATGTGAAGAATAAGAAAGTGCATCTGGTGGCTGCCACTAGAGTATAGCCAAAATGTAAACATTGCAGTTTCTTCAAAATGGCAATACAGGCATACCCCACTTTACATACACCTGCAGGTACAGACATACCCGCGAGTGTACTTAAAAGGTGCCTCGCAAGTACAGACATTCCCGTGCCTCTTCTGTCCGCGAGTGAACAGGAAATGGAAGGTTCTATTCTCGCCAGGAGCAGCTCAGTTCAGTGTCTTTGGGGCAAGAACTTTTCACACCTTCTGACATGGCACAGGTTAATCATCTCAAATGTATAATGTCTACTCCTAGCTGAATATATATATATATTTTCTACCCATACATTGTACATATTCTGCAATCGGCGCAATCCAGTGAAAGGGTTTACCCTGCCGTTTTCTATAACTATGACTTAGCAGCTTAGCTGCATTAGCCACAACTCTAAGCATTTATGGTTTATCTTTGAATCCTCAAAGTGATGAAGAGGTGTTTCTAAACAAATGGTGCGAATAAGCTGCTAATAAATACAAATTGGCACTGTATTGACAGAAAATGGCCCAGTGGGCAGGTTTATTTTACTTTTCCTCCCAGTTTAAGGTTGTCAGATGAGTAAAACATTAAAGATAAATGGTACAACTGGAATGAGATTTTTCTTTTTACTGTTTGTTTTAACTGAATAAAAGCCCACTGGAAATCACTGAATCTGCAGTTGCAGTATCACTGGAAATCTGCAGTTGCAGTATCAGGTATGCATGTAAATGAGTATTGCAATGCAGAACATGCATTGGGAAGTGAAACAAGGTATTGCTACACTTTAAGTACATTTTCGTTTTTACATACATGCTCTGGTCCCATTGTGAACTTAAAAGTAGGGTATGTCTGTATTTGTTTTCCATTGTCAGGGGAAAGGGTCAGACAGTCCATAGGGTCACATAGGACAGCATCCCAGCAGATGATGTTATGAAAAAAATTATATATTGCCAGTGGTAAAAATGGGAACTACTGTACTGATATTGTTTCCCTTTGTAAAAGGAATAACTTGCAAATGTCCCTTATACATGGTAACAAATACAAAACAGCATAGCAGAGCTATTACATACTTCTATGTTGGTTCAGGTAAAATAATATCATGAGAGTAAGTAAGGTAGCGCAGAAAAATACACACACTAATCACATAATAGTAGTAAACATATTAAACATTTATTTGGTCTTCTGTGCAATATAAAAATGTATATAAAATACAAAAACAAAGTGAAATAGATAAAATGATATTTAATACTAGTGCTGAGTGTACACACTCTTTTGTAGGTATAGCCAGAAAAGGGACTATATCAAGTTTTAGAAGGTAAAAATGTTATAAAACATAAAAATGAAAAAATAAATAAAAATGAGAGCAAAATGTGAGAATAAAAAATGAAGTTACAGAAAAAACCAGCGTGCTGAAAAAAAGGAGAAAGTCCAACCTTATAAGGTAGCTGGCAGCTTGCTAATTCGGCAGAATAGATGCTGGCATCCTGCTGGTAGTTTGTAGAGAAGCTGGATACTGGGTGATACAGCAATAGTTACTACTGGCTGGCTGCCTGCCAGAGGGTTCCGTCGTGACACTGTGTAGCGTTATGTGCGTATAGTTGGTCTCCCTCTGCGATCGTTCTTCTATGTGGGAGGCCTTTGAGTATTGGCGTCGGAGTAGAGCGCAGTGTGCTGGATTGCACCCGTGCGCATAGAGGATACAGATGTTACCGTCCGCTCGTGGTGGAATAAAAGACAGTGTGGTTGCTCTTAATCTGTGTGAAGTCTGGTTCTTAATAATAAAAGAGGAAACCATTTAATGGCCATACATGAACTGAACTCCAACTGCCAGAGTGAAAAATAAACTACTGAAACCATCAAACTCAACTGGGGTGCCATTGGCTGAGTCATCTTCTCCCATAGGGGCTGCTTGTAAAATTCCAAATCCAAATGTTTTCAAAATATAAACTGAAGTATAGTGTATGTATGTATCTATACAGGAGGAACAGGCAGCAACAAAATAATTCTGGCCACCAAAATTCCCTTGAAAGTACAGAGGTTGTCTTGTTTGTGTCTATGTGTCTGGTAAACCTCGAAGCATGAACATTCTATTCCAGGCTTCCTCAAACTCCAGCCCTCCAGATTTGCTGAACTACAACTCCCATGATTCTATGAATGCAATAGGCTGAGAATCATGAGAGTTGTAGTTCAGCAACATTTGGAGGGCTGGAGTTTGGGGAAGCCTGCTCTAACAGTTGTTTTCAGGAATGGTTTGAGTACAAATAGCCCCCTGGGAAGGGTGGTGCTGAGTTTACTTGCTTGTGCAGCCTAGTTGTTTTCTTTCATGGATTTTAACCCCTTAAGGACCAAACTTCTGGAATAAAAGGGAATCATGACATGTCACACTTGTCATGTGTCCTTAAGGGGTTAAGAGGATGTGGCGGCCAAAATAAAATTTGTTTTTTTTTTCCACTTCGTCAAGGCCTGAGTTTTGGGGATAAAGTATCTATCTGCCTTTCCATTCCTGATGCTCGAATGATAGGTAATATTGTAGTTTACTCTGGATAAGAATAGAAACCATCTGGCTTGTTGGGAGGACAAGGTCTTTGTCTCACTGATGTATATTAGGTTCTTATAATCAGTGAGGATAAGGACAGAGCAACTTCTTGAGCAGCTGTATCCATTCCTTAAGAAGAGAACTATGGCCAATATTTCTCTACTGCCGATGTCCTAACTAATATATATATAAAAAAAAAGCCCACAATAAATCTCTGGTAGTAGTTAACGAACACTATAAACCTCGGAAGAGGTCCATCTCATACAACTGTTAACTGGTTGGGAAGGGGAGATAATATCAAAAAGGCTTTTTTCTAGTTTGTACTATAACCTATTCTCTAACAACCTAATGAAGATTTGGCGTATATGTTGGTGTTGAGTCTCAAAGTTTGTGGAATAGGTAAGATATTGTCCAAATAAACTATCACATAAGAATGAAAAAAATTAAATCACTAGGCATATCATTGACGAATGCTTGAAAGATGGCAGGGACATTGCAAGGACTGAAAGGCTTCACTGCATAATCGTAATGCCCATTGTGACTTTTAAAGGCCATATTCCATTCATTGCCTTCCTTAATTCTCACTTGCTTGTAGGCTCCTCTGAGATCTTAGTCAACAACTTGGATCACTTTATCCTGTCAAATAACTCAGTGATAAGTTGAATGGGGCATGTGATCTTATTTAGACCCTGATAATCAATGGATAGGCATTATCTCCCCATTCCTTTATTTTGTACACAGAAAATCCCTGCACCTGCTAGAGAAGATCACTTGCATATAAAACCCTTGCTTAGAGTTTTGGAAACAGAGCACTATAGTTTTGTTTGGATAGAATTTACTTCTGTCTCTAAGAGAACTAACTCCAGGGAAGAAATTATTAGTGCAGTCATAGGGACGATGGGTTGGTAGTTTGCCTACTTCTCTTATCAGGGCATGAATCCACTGATTAGAGCCTAAGGATAGATGGTGTTATGTTTAGTATGGCAAAGGAAACCCAGAACTATTGGTCAGAAGGAAGAAAATTGATTTCTTCTGAATGCAAAACACTCACAAAAATACACTAACGGTATTGCAGACAGGCCTACCATATATAGCCTCAAATGCCAATTGTTTCTCTGTATTGGACAAGGATACATTGGTAGATAAACTTGGAGACTATAAAGGTTTCAGTGGGCCAGAGTCCAAAATAGCTTGAGTGTAATGCCATTGCTGTCTGACAGAATAGGAAAAGAAGTCTAGATTCCTTAGGGAACAAAGTGTTTGCACCCAAGGTGGGTGTTTTCCTGCCTGATAGGTAGATAATCCTAAGAAGCCGTTATGACATACACAGACTAAAACCTTCCCTATTCCTATAGTGTTTCTCCTCAGACATGTCAGGACTAGGTGTATGAGTTACTCATTTGAGAGAGCTTGGGCAGTGTCAGTAGAAGTTGAAGGGTTAGTAACCACATACGAGAACCAAGGAGCTAGCTGTAGAAAGGTTTTCCTAGCCTTCTCCTTGATGACTTGATGGGTACAAATATGAACGTCAATCTGAACCACATAAACAGCCAACAGAAGGTGATGGGGAAGAGGGGTACAAGTGAGGGTAGGGGAAAAGAAAAAGGGCACAAGTGAGGGCAGTGGGAACAAGTGAGGACAGAGAAGGAACGAGAAGATGGGAACAATTGGAGAAAAGGAGGCATAACTTGGGGAAGGTGGAAAAAAAGTGAGGGAGAAATTGATGGAAAGATAAAGAGGGGCAAATGGGAATTGGAAACACAGTGCACAGGCACACCAAGAAACTATTCATGAACACAAATATGCTCCTGCATAAACACTGGCACGCTATAAAAACACAGCACTAAATTCACAAACTAGCACTCTACACAAATGCATGCATCATTCAGATGCAGTCACTAACACACATATATGCTCCTACATATGCATTGCTATTCAGCCACCCAACCAGCCACAAACTCCGAAACAGTCATATTTCCCTTTGCACCCAGTCAGATAGTAACCTGTCAGCTAACACCACCCACCATGCACTTATTGCCATCCAACTACCCACCTAGTCATAATTACCATACAGTTATACCCAAAACTACTCACATTCATCCATCCATCCAATCACATACCAGTTGTGGATGGTGACTTTTCAAGTTGGTGGGGCACCAGACTAAACACTTTGACTTAACTCTGCCTCTAAATTATTTTAATCATGAATAAAAATAATATGAAACAACTACTATCCGATATATAGGGAATTAACCATATAGACATATTTCTATTAATGAGTGAAACAGACTATTTTTAATCTAAATGCAAATTACAAGTGTAATACAAAATTGAGCCAAAAGATGCCCCCAAAGGGTTACTTTTAGAGATTTTTTTTTTACCGTAAAATGAAATAGAAATCTATTTAATAATAAAAAATATATTAAAACAGATACCTTGCATTTAAATTTCTTGTTACAAAATATCTAAGACATGAGGAGATTCTACTCGGGAGAAAATTTTATAACTAAATTAAGCATCTTGCCCAATGGCTTTAGTGACAGATACCAACTGTTGGAGCGGTGCCCGTCACCATGTACTGCCACCGGCCACAATACATGTAGGCTCTTATTAATCTTATTATAGTTGGCACCTGGTGGTTGAAGGGTGCCTGACTTAATGAGACAGACACCCAGAGAGGGCGCGGGCCGGGGAGAAACATAGCATGGCTGCAGGCATCTAGTAAACGTGGTGCCTGCTATCAGTTTTGGTGAAAAAAATGCAGCAGTCGCTGCTATAAGGGAGTGGAGAAGGAGCCGGTCATCTCGGCGGCAGGCACTTCATGGTGAAGCAGTATCTGCCTCCATTGTTGAAGTCCAGAGAGCTGGACATAAAGCATCAGAAGGATGTTATTAGGAAAGGGAGTGTGGGACAATGTGAGCATGGCGGCAGACACCTGATGGTAAAGCGCCACCTGCCGCCATTGTAAGTGCCGAGCTGTGTGAGTACTGCAGCCAGCACAAGGGTATGAGGGGGGAAAGGAGCCAGAGAGCCCAGACACATACCTTACACCAGCTGTTCCCAATTAATATTTAGTGTGGAACCCTTTGATAGTTTCCCAACATTGTGAAACCTCCCAAGAAATGTTCGCACCAGAGCCTTTTAAAAAGCAGAGTGTAATGTTTTTTGACAAATTGGTTTTGGGTTTTTTCCCCATAAAATAATTTCTAATTAAGTTTAAAAAAACAAACAAATCCAAGTAAATTAGGGTAAAAGTGTGATTGAACTTGGTTAACTTCTAATTTGATATAATATCAATGTACAGGACAGTTTACATATAAATACTGTAACAGACTCTCCGTCAATCGATGCTCCTAGTGCTTACCAAGGACCATCAGCACCACACCAGACACCATAAGCACTGCAGACCCCACAAACCGCCGCAGCTTGGTTGGGGTCTCGCCATTTCCTACCCACCCTGGACCTACGACCAGGCTCCAGTGGGTGAACCTCTCTTCCTTCAGAGAGTGAAGCAGGAACAGCTTTTAGAAGAGCTAGTGATTAAAACCCAGGGGAGTATACAGAGTATAGCAACCCCCAATGTGATTATAGCAGTTCCCTACAACACGAGACGAGGTTGCGAGTTGAGGGTAAGAAGGTCTGAAGGTTTATAGAACAGCTTGCATTTTTATACAGTTTTTCAGGCCAGAGGCACACCCCCTGGACCTGATGGAACAGGGACACAAGGAACATAAACCAATGGGAACAATAATTATCACTGTAATACTCCCACATACAGTCAGCAATCCCTCCTCTCTGCCTGTGATATAATTAAGGTGGATAATGAACCAACTCAATTATCCACAGGAAGAAAGTACCCAAAGTGCAGAAACACCCCAAAACTCCAACATATCCCCATAAATATATAGATATCCTACATCCCTGGATAGCCCTGATCTAGGTGAACAACATATCCAAAAAATCACCTAGATCAGAGCAGGGGTTCCAAAATTCCATGGAAGTCTCTTTTGACCGACCGCACGCATGATTTCATGCCCAAAACAGTTCCAGAAAATTTGGCTGTGCGGCCAGTCTATTTCCAATCACTAAGTTTACTTTGAATGCACAAACGGGGACCGTTCGTGCACAAAGTCAATGTTGAAGTGCCGTTCGACTCCCGTCGCAGAGTTGAAGTCCCAGAGAAGGTAAGATTTGAGTTCCATAAACTCAACAACAAAACACCGCTGAACACGTTCGAATAAACAAGATGGCCGCCGCCACGTGTTCGACTATATGAACGGTGACCACCCAGCCGTTCGTCAGTTTGGCTGCGGTTAATTAGCAGCCTGGGAGGTAAATAGGCTGCACACTCCACTTGTGTCTGTTTGCCCTTTAATCTGCACAGTGATTAGAAATAGAGGCTTCTATATACATATTTTATACAAGCATTTTACCTGTCTTCCAATCCCCCCTTATGTGTTATAAGGGGTTAATATACTTATTTGCCTCTCCTCCCCCTGTGTGTACAAAACTACCGAATAGATTTCCTCCCACCCTTCTCTGTTCATTGAGAACAGAGATAAGTGTAATAATTGACAAAGGGGCAGTACACTAAGGGCGGGATCTAGGACATGAATATGACGTATCAGTACTACACTTGGTACAAGCTAGCGGAAAAATTATCCCACGCTAAGGTTCAGAATATGCCTTTTGAAATACCCTGGGATGTCTTCTTTAAGAAATGGTTAAGGACACCTGACATGTGTGACATGTCATGATTCCCTTTTATTCCAGAAGTTTGGTCCTTAAGGGGTTATGGGGTATTTGGATTATATAGCCTGGTAAAAATACTCTAAAATGGGACATGGGCACAGCACACATACGATTTGCAAAATATACTGTGCAAACTCACTTTGTGTGTCAAAAAGGCAAAAAAAACGCTTACCACCACTACACTTGGTACAAGCTAGCGGAAAAATTATCCCAATATGCCTTTTGAAATACCCTGGGATGTGTTCTTTAAGAAATGGTATGCCCAGGGATGTATTTGCCTTGCGGCTAACAGTCCAGGCAGGCGGGCGGCTAGGTAAAAGTCCATGCGGACGGCGCTGGCGAGGGAGCACTTCCCCCTGAGCTCTCTGCTCGGCTCCCTTGTGCGCCGCCTGCAGAGTGTCACATTCCAGCTCCCAGCATCACTCTGCGGTGCCCGCCCGACAGCCCAGCAGCCACTGGACCCCCAGGGAGAGGAAGAATTCAGCCCCCCCAGCATTCACAAAGGTAAGGAGACTGGAGGGGGGGTTGAATTTAAAAAAAAACAAACAAAAAAAAACACAAGTGAGTGTGTTAGTGTGTGTGAGTGTGTTAGGGAGTGAGTGTGTGTCTGTGAGTGTGTTAGGGAGTGAGTGTGTATCTGTTAGTGAGTGTGTGTCTGTGTGTGTTAGTGAGTGTGTCTGTTAGTGAGTGTGTGTATGTCAGGGAGTGTGTTACTATGTGTGTGTCTGTTAGTGAGAGTGTATGCGTGTCTGTTAGTGAATGTGTGTGTCTGCAAGTGATTATGTGTCTGTTAGTGAGCGTGTTTGTGTGTGTATTTAGAAGGTGGGGCGGGGGGAAGGATAGGGTGGTGGGGGGAGGCGTGAGTTTTGTCCTGTCTAGGGCAGCACAAAACCAGGATACACCCCTGGGTATACCTTTATGGTGTAGTTGTAATATGTAGCCTGATCAAGTGCTCCAAAGTGGGACACGGACGCATCAAAACCCTCCATGAAAATTCACACTTAAAAACCTGAACTTGTCACGTCTCTTTTACAGCACTGTAACTTCACAAAATAGTGTCTAGGTCATACATTGGGCATATTGTTTTACTCAGAAGACTTAGCTGAGCATAATTTGGGGGGTTTGAACTTAGTGGCACATATAAAATATATAAAAAGCCCAGCAAAAATGTAATCCGTATGTAAAAAATGCCCAAAATTATTTTTTACCACATACTTTGGCATATATTGGTGAAAAAATGGGGGCATGTTAAGGCACTATATGCACCATATGAGATACCCTGGAGTGTCTACTTTTACAAATGGTAGGCCTTTGTGGGGTTTTTTTTTTTTTTAAACAGTCAAACTGCTAAAAAAAACCAAAATGAAGAATAGGCCCATTAAAGGACCACTCTAGGCACCCAGACCACTTCAGCTTAATGAAGTGGTCTGGGTGCCAGGTCCTTCTAGGGTTAACCCATTTTTTTTATAAACATAGCAGTTTCAGAGAAACTGCTATGTTTATGAATGGGTTAAGCCTTCCCCCTAATCCTCTAGTGGCTGTCTCATTGACAGCCACTAGAGGCGCTTGCGTGCTTCTCACTGTGATTTTCACAGTGAGAGCACGCAAGCGTCCATAGGAAAGCATTGTAAATGCTTTCCTATGCGACGGGCTGAATGCGCGCGCAGCTCTTGCCGCGCGTGCGCATTCAGCCCAGGAGGAGGATCGGAGGAGGAGAGGAGGCAGAGAGCTCCCCGCCCAGCGCTGGAAAAAGGTAAGTTTTTACCCCTTTCCCCTTTCCAGAGCCGGGGCGGGAGGGGGACCCTGAGGGTGGGGGCACCCTCAGGGCACTATAGTGCCAGGAAAACGAGTATGTTTTCCTGGCACTATAGTGGTCCTTTAAAGCCGTCTCTCAAAATTCTATTGTATATACTGAAATGGACAGGTCTCCTATATGGCACTGTTGCTTCACGAAAAAGTGCCAAAGACATACAATGGGGGTATCGTTGTACTCAGCAGAAGTAGCTGAACACAAAATAAAGTTTTGTACAGGAATAGCACACACCAACTTTACAAAATACACACGAGAAGGTCTTTGTTATAAGTTTGTGTGCCAAAAAAACAAAACAAACACAATTTTACTCAAATATTTAGCAGAGATTGGCAGTAAAATAGCTACATAGAAAGTGTAAAAACAACCTTAGGTAAATAGCCTGTGATGTCTACTTTATATAAATATATACTTTTGTGTGGCAATTTTGTTTTCTTTTATGGCTATTAAGACAAACATAACAAATTCTAAAATCGCTCCACATTAAAAGTTTATTTTACTCCTTGTGCTTTTTTGTTTTTTAAATAATAAATTATATATTTATTTATTACATCAAATTAAAGCCCTTTCTGTCCTTTAAAAAAACAGTATATAATATGTATCGGTGCAATAAATGAGAGAGATGCAAATTGCAATTGAACGCAGACAGCAAGAAAATGCAAAAATTGCTTGTGTCATTAAGCGTAAGACAAACTTCTGAAGCTGAGTCCTTAAGGGGTTAAACTATACATACATATATATATTTATATATACACACATATATATTTATTAACCCCTGCCCGACCGCAAAAATGGTCCCTCGGACATGCCTAGTAAGTCCGTGGTATTCCCACTTACTTACCCGGCCGGCGATTGATGTTCCTCTGTGTCTGGGGGGGACTGTCTTACAGCCCAGGCAGTCTCCCTTCAGCAAATTAGGGCCCCGTGAGCGTCCATAGTACTGCCTACAGGGGGACTGCCTGACAAAAGTGCTGCCTGCAGGGGGACTGAACTGACAGTCCCCCATTGGTGAAAAAGTCAAATAAAAATCTTAAGTGAAAAAAAAAAAAAAAAGAAATTAAAAATAAAATATATATATATAAAAAAAATATAATATATGTATAAATGTGTGTATATATCTATGTAATATGTATATATACACACACTTCTTTTATATAACATCATACTAAATGTATTTTTTTTTTTAATAACCCCTTAAGGACACAAGCCTTTTTTGCTGTTTGTGTTCAAACGCAATTTGCATCTCTGTCATTTATTGCAACAACACATATTATATACCGTTTTTCAGAGGGCAAACAGGGCTTTAATTTTATGTCACATATACATAGATACATTCTCATTAATTATATTAACCCCTTCCCGACCCAGGACGGTTCAGGACCGTCATCGGGATTTTCCCATTGCGGACCGATGACGGTCCTGAACCGTCCTAACAGTCCTATTTACTTACCTGATCGCCGTCGTTCCCCCGGCGGCGATCAGCGTGGCTCCGGTTGTGGGGAGACTGCCTGCAGCCCAGACAGTCTCCCCATACTGAATTAGGACCCCTGTGGCCATGTGATCGCTCAACACAGCGATCACATGGTCACAATAGGTGTCCTAGTGTCTGCCTGCAGGGGGACTGTCTGTGCTGACAGGCAGTCTCCCTGCTAGTGTAAAATCAATAAAAAAAATAAAGTTAATGTTAATTAAAAATAAAAAAAAATTATATTTGTGTATATATGATATATAGACATATATTATATCTATATAATATATGTCTATATATCATATATATATATGTCATACTAAGTGTATTTTTATATTAATATGTACTTATATTAATATAAAAATACACTTATAATTAAATTACACACGTATATATATAATATATATAATAACTATATATATTGTATATATATATTATTATAAAATATAAATAATAAGTAATTTAAATTAAATAATTTTTTTTTTAAATAATAATAAAAAATTAAAAAAAAATTATATAGCTATATGAAATTTTATTCTAACTGTATTTTAAAATTAATATATATATATATTTATATCAAAATACACTTAGAATGAATTTGTATATATATCTATGTATATAAAAATAAATAAAAATAATAAGAAATATACATATGTCCATATACAAAATTACATAAATAATTATATAAATATACACGTAG